GGGGGATTAGAAATAAATGCTTTAAATCGTGTTCAAATATAAAATCGGACAATTGTGGGATTAACTCATACCGTGTTTTGCTAATACGCTTTCATGAAGACTTGAAATAAGAATAGACAGGCTCGGAGCACCTAGGTAGATGTTGACTTTCTCATTATGGCAAAACTGAGTTAAATAGAAAGTGAAACAGCGAGTAAGAAAACAATAGGTCACTAGCAATCCCAATTTCAGCAATTATGGTTTATGTTTAAGCACTAAATGTTATATTTTGAAATTGATTTTGATATTATTGTTTTTTTAATGTCCAACGGGTTCAATGAACACTACGGCATGTCTACTGCTTAAATTTAAGTAGAAATTTATTTTACTCTTCAACAGACTTTGACAACCTACGCCGAGGAACAAGTTTTAGAGAAGCAGGAGGAACAACTTTGGGCCAATTTATTTTCTCCTTCAGAAGACATTGTTGTGGAGTCGGCGAAAGGCATCTCCGCTCAATTACAAGAATTGAGTCATCTAGACGAAGATGTAGTTGAATTGGCTGACAGTCAGCTTTCTCCAATTATTGCAAACAATGGGGTAAAAGAACAAACACGAAAAGAAGAAGAAGAAGAAGGAGGAGGAGGGTCATTAATTGAGGTTAGTCCTATCTTCATTTTACATATTTCTTAATTTTGAAGTCTTAAATGTGATTTCATCTTCGAGTTAAGAATCATATTAAATGAAGTGAGTGAGAGACGTTGAAGGAGATATTCAATGCCAATTATGTGGTATAAAAGTAGCTCTTGGGGAAGAAAATATCAACAGGTAACAATTGGCTGTATTCAAAATTAATAAATAAACAAAGCTGGAATTTTAGAAGAACAATGAAGCTAATTTATTTTAACTTAATACCCTTTCTGGGACAATACAATTCGAGGTAAACTAACAAATTTGAGCTTGAAATAGCCACTCTTTGATTCATTTCTAAAATTTAGTTTGAAAAAAACCCCAACTCACAAATCATCAAACCAAAACTACGCCCTCATTCCGTCAAACGATTTGCAAATTATTGTCAATTTGACTCTCAAATGGGCCATAAATCATAACAGTACAAATTTGATTGAATTTGTTATGATTATTGGTCACAAATTTCTGTTTATCCCCATAAATCTAATTCAAAAAAATTTAATAAATTACAAATGCTCAAATAAAAGAAGTAAATAGTAATTCTTAGATAAAATTTTTGAATTTAAGATGAATAAATAAAGGGCTTTTCACAAATTAATTAACTTAGTTTTATTATTTTTTGGAAATTTAGTGTATTTTATTGAGACAACTTTAATCCAATTAAGTTTACCGTTGGGAAATCCGTTTAGCTTTTAATTGCCTTTCTTAATTAACTCCCAGCGAAATATGAACAAAGGCTATTCAATATTGGAAGTAAAAGTATTATGCATCTCGCTAAGAATGGTCTCGGGCGTAATTTCGTCACAAAATATTATTATTATTATTATTTCAAATGGCAGGCTTTGTGATATTTATCATCCTCCACATTTATAGCAGTTCATTAGCCGTCTTCTTGCTTCCCCGTACCTCTGGCTTTCCGTCGTTGTCTTTGGGGCTGGACATCAAATCAGGTGGGTCTTCTCCATTTCCTCCTGTAGATTACATAGAGGGCATGTGGGTTGAGTGTATACTCCCAATCTGTGAAGATGTTTTGCCAAGCAATCGTGTCCGGTACGTAGTCTAAACTCAGCAACGGCATCGATTCTTGACCAGTCGGCTATATCGGGGGAGTGCCACTGTCCACTGTTTCTCCTTTGTTCGAGCTTTAAGTTCGTTGCACCTTGAGGTCTGGAATTCTCTCCTGATTAAGGCCTTCATTGTGTGGAAAGACATCAGCCGGTCCATGCATTGCAAAATCGTTGTCCCCTTCTTAGAAAGTGTGTCAGCAAGCTCATTGACTTTAATGCCACATTCTGAGATATGTGAACTCATTGGTTTTTTCTATGGTAGTATCCTTGTATCTTAGAAGCGGGTTTATGCTGTGACGGGCCAAAAAAAAGTTTGGAATGCAGTT